AAACAATGCAGCCTGTAGTCGTGTTAATAAGAGCGCTGAACCTGACTCGCGCATTAAATGTGTCGCAAAACCAAAACAGGAAGCTCAAACGGGCTGAAAACTGCGTTCAACAAAGCTCCCTGTACGTTTGAGGTGAGACGGGCAGTGATAGGTGGATGATGTGGATGAATAAAAAGAAGCCCAGCTGCCGCTTTGGGTGGATGGAAGCTGGAGAGCGGCGGCTGTGGGTGAGGCCTGATTGGACACAACGTGTAATTACGCTCGCTTTCCTAAAACCAGTTAAGTGACACTTAGTGGCGTAAAGACTACAAGGCCAAGAGAATTTTCTTTTTTTAATTACAGGAGAATATCTGAGGGTTTTTTTGAGTTATTGAACATATGCTTGTGTCAGTCTCTGTCATTATCGTTTTTGTTGTTGTTGTTGTTTTATCCATTGGAGCTTGTTTCTGACATGTTAAAACTCAGATTGCAGCTTAAATTTAAGTGTTTTTTTTCCCCCCTCCAGCCAACACCCTGCATTAAATATGACAAGTATATGACAATAGAGATTACAAACTTTCTCTTTCCTCCTGTGGGTGTGAGATGATGGACAGGAAGCAGAGAGTCATTTAAAAACACAGGCTTTGAGTAAAAGGAAGTTTTAGAGTTACTTTGACTTATCACATTAATAAAAATTATATTCATTCACTCATTCATTTATTCCCTTTTATTGCTTCCTTTTGGTTGACCAAGATGGCCTTGTGTGTTTTTGTTTTTCATTCCTGGTAATCCATGTTCAAATGTGTATATATTCATTTTGCTTCCTCAACTCTGAAGGAATAAAAAAAAAGAAAACAAATGTTATATAAAAACAGGCTTATCTTGGTCTGCCAGCTTAGTTCACTGTAAGCCTCCAAGCATGGAGAATAAGAGGGGAGGAGTGGATCGCCAAGGATTCTTTCCTGCTCGCTCTCTCCCTCTCTCTCGGCTGTTTTCAACATCCGCCTTGGCCTCGCTGACAGCTGGAATAAAGTCTTAACGCACGAGGCCGCGGTTACACTCGTCATGCCGGAGATTTGACCGTAAACATTTGATGTTGATGCATGTCGTCGGTCAGACGTGTGTCCCCACGATGAAGGTGTTGTGATCTGGTCCTCTTCCTGCACTTCACTCTTCTTCCTGGTTAGAACAAATAGTCTCTTCTTTAAAAAAGGGATTATATGTCGTGATTTTCAACTTTTATTTAGTGAGAAACATAGGATACGTACCTACAAACCCGCCGGTGGGCTTTGGAGGGAAAAAGAAGAATTTGTAGGTTGAATTTCGTGACTAATTTAGTTTCATGGAAATCACACTTCAGTTAGGATTAGATTTTTTGGTTTCAAAGCCATTAGACCAGAAATTTGAGGAAATGATATGTGTGTAGAGCAACGTCTGAGTAAAAAAAAAACCTTTGTTTTATTACACAGTGGTGTTCTAAAAGCATGATGATGTCCTCAAATGTCTTCTTTTTTTTTTGTCCACATCCAAAAGATATTTAGCTCGCTGTCACAGAGGAGGAAAAATCACTGACAAATATTCAGATTTACATAACTTGAATCAGAAAATGTTGTCCAGAATCACTGTGTTTGGCAATTCATTTAGTAGTTGACGACTCGGGTGTGGAGTTAGCGTCATGGCTGGCAAAGTCTGTTTGTGACTCATCGTTGGGCGTCTTCAAGTGTCCCGGAAAAGTTTAATTATTCTCGCTGGTATTGTGCAGCTACTCTGATGAAGAAGTTGGCAACATTCTGTTGTTAGCTAACACTGACACTGACCAGTTCTCCACTGGTTGTCCTTCTGCAGCTCAGTTACAATAGAAAGACCAGGATAGAATAGAATAGAATAGAATAGAATAGAATAGAATAGAATAGACTTTATTAGTCACACAAGGAGACATTTGCACCGTCACAGCAGCAAAGTGACAGCAGGAAAAACAAGAAAACACAACTATACATTAAAGAGGCGAGGAATATACACCATAAATAAAAACTAAACTAAACAAAACAAAACAGAAAAACACGAGGATACTAAGAATAAAATTAAGAATATCTGCGTGAATGAATTGCATTTGGGATTTTGCACTTTGGTACAAGTCTGTGAAGATTCTCAGTCATCCAGGTCGTGGTTATTCTCATAGATTAATCGTACCAGCTGGACTTGCTTGAGTTCCTTGAAGACGTTCCACCTCTCATCCATAGACTGTATAAAAGATGGACGTAGCAACCGGCCCTGAAAAATGAAGCCAACCCGGAAGTGTCAAAAACCTGCAATATCACTACGTCCACTAGCTGCTGGTCAATCACAGATCAATAAATACTGCATTCCTCCAGCTCAGGATTTTTTAAAAATTAGTTTTCATGGTCAAATCCAGAGATCAGGTGGCCAATCTGAAAATAAATCAATACTGAATTTTTAAAAAATCATCAACATTTTGCGGGGCAAGGGGCGTGGCTGGTTTGATTGACAGTCGGCAGCGACCATACAGACGAAGCGAGCAGAAGGCGGTAAATGTGGGCGGGGCAGAGAGGGCCCGCCTCTCAATCCGTCTGACCAATCGCTGCTCCTATGGCTCCGCCCCCCTCCGACGATTTTTGCGTCACTGGCTCCAAAAATCCAAGATGTCAACCAGGAAGTAGCAAAACCCTGGCTTCATTTTCTCAGTGCAGAAACCAACGGGTGTCGTCATGGTAGCTACGTCCATCTTTTATACAGTCTATGGTCTCATCCAAGAGGCTTCATCAGTTCTGACTGACTAGTTGGGAGCTCCAGATATCCTTAAGGAGTCATTAACACCAGAGTTTTGGTTTCAATTAGGGGTTTGTTGCTCCTCCCCCTCGTAATGCGAGTCGTTACTACCACAAAGGGGTTCGTTAAGTTCGTTTGTGGCTAGGTGTGAATATGGTTTGGAACCACATTGGTTAGGATAAAACTACTTTGGTACTTTGCTTCTGCTGTGGTTTCTCCACATCCTTGTCTGTGTCCAGTTGGGCATCATGTTTGAATTGGAAGACTGTTGTGTGTCACACAGCTGTGAACATTTCAGCCAAATCAATGTCAAATTAGCATCGGAGGTAATGTTTAGCGTATTCACCAACTTCAGTATAAAAGTATCTCGACCTCTAAGTTGTTCAACGGGAAATTAAACTGACTGAATCAATATTTAAATTCAGCATTTTTCTGTTGCACCTTAGTTTCAAGTTGTTGTTTTTTTTTGGTTTGTTTTTGACTATAAAAGGAATTAGCAAGTCAGACTTTATCAAAAGAAGTCGACAAAGCACGGCCCAAGTGAAGGTTCTTCTGCACTTACAAGTAATTTCTGATGATTATAAACTGTCGCCTTAAAAATGTAACCTCCCCCCTCATTCTCTTTGTCTCTCTTCATGTCTTCCTCCAGATGCCTGTCCTGCGTTAATGGAAAGTTCCCCTGTCACTGGTGCAAGTATCGCCACATGTGCACGCAGGACGCCAGCGACTGCTCCTTCCAGGAGGGCCGAGTGAACACCTCCGAGGTGAGCACAACAAAAGCACCACGGACGTGGACGAGCGCATGTCGTCCAAACACCTCACAAAGGAGGCACATACAGAGCAACACATGAATACATTTATGAACACGAGCACGCACGTGAGTATGTATAGTAGCTTCATAATGCCAAGGGTGCAGCTGGGACCGGCGCAGTGTATGAATGAGTGCTGCCGTGAGTGGCCCAGAAGCAGCTGTTGTACTCTAAGCAGCGCTGGATTTATTCACTTATAAACAAGTCGGGGTGAATGAGTATGCAAATGGAATCGCGCACCATCGTCCCAAATGTTATATTTGCATGAAAACCCTCATCCATCCACGAGCCGACTGGCTTTCGCAGTCCCTCTGTCTGCGCCCGACTCTGTGATTCTCACTCGATCCAGAAAATTCACGCTGACAAACTCTGAGGTGTCTTCAGAAAGCTGCACAACCCAACCACCTTCACGTCTAGCTTTGTCTTTACTTCACTTTAATCCTCTTTTTTTGTCACCTTTCCTCTAATTTTATCATCTTTCCTCCCGTAGAATAACATATTGTGGTTGCTCTCGTTTATTCGCTTCAGAAAAGAAAAAGCAACAGAGGTGTTGAAAGGATATAATCAGAAAAGAAACTTGGTGTACTCAGTGTGGGTGGGCGTGAAGCATGTGTAAGTGTGTCTGCATACACATGTTTGTATGTGTTTTAGCGTGATGTGTGTGTTTACTGTATATGCATGTGTGTGTTGGTGTCTCTTTTATGACCGCTACCTGAAGAAATGTGTGCGAAACAAACCAAGGCAGTGTGAATGATAAGTGTGCGAATGAGGCTACAACAATTTTCAGCATCTTGTGTGTTTCTGTGTGTGTGTGTGTGTGTGTGTGTGTGTGTGTGTGTAGAGAGAGGGAGAAAGGAGGGGATAACACTTGACTCCACACACCCTGTCATCACATGTTACGCCCTCCTGTAAACACACCAGGCTGACATCCAACCTCATCTTGTTTGGAGAGCCACACCAATTCATCTTTTTTTTTTTTTTTTGTTCCCTTTCTTTTTTCTGGTTCCTTTCCTCCCTCCTCCCTCCTCCCTCCTCCTCCCTTTCCTTTTCCATCTTTGTGGTGCAGGCGTTTCCATGGTTACAGAGACACTTTGAATGTCAGGAGAGGTTTGTCGAATTCTGACAGACACAAAAAACACAAACTTGCGCCGCAGCCTCACGCCGATCGCTGTTATTACGGCGGCTTTGGATGCGCTCGCCGCTTTGATGTATCCTTATGTTCTCTCTCTGTCAATGAATAGGTAACATTTTGAAAGCATATGCTCGCTTTGGCCAACGTTTTTTTTTTTTTTTTTTTTGTCGTCGTCACACATTTATCTCTTCTAGCCTTGATTTTGTTCCAATTTGCCAGTTCGGAGCCCCTGCTGAAAGCAATATTGCCCATCACCGCTGCCTGGAAAAGTTTCCCCCTGTGTCATTAGCAGTCAGTTTCCAAAGTGATTGAATTCACACTACACTGGTTATCTTCCCAAAGGCATTTGTCATATTTCTTGAGGCTGACTTCACTTCATATCTGATCAAATTCACGGCGTATGTGAATCGGCGGTATCGGTAAATCGGTTAAAAAAAAAACTTTTTTTTTTTCACCCGCGTGTGATAATGTATAATTTTTTTTTTGGCCTCTTAAAGTAAGTGTAATTCTCCCCTGTCACTTCCTGGATTTGTAAATATATATAAATCAGCTGTGTTGTGACAGCAGATAAACAGAGAGGCACATTAGGGGCGACCAGGCAGAAAATTGCCAGAGTCGGAGAAACACTTGAGAAGGCCATCAACAGAAATGCATAACATACACAAACAATGAGAGAAACAAACACCAGTACAAACAAACACAGAGACAAACAAATTTGCTCTGCTCCAATGAATCCCAGCATTGGGGCCGGTAGAGCCGACTGGGCCGGCGCTGGGCCCGGGGGTTGCTTCAAATGACTTCATTTAGATTCAAGGAAATAGGAAAAATAAGACAGTAATAAAAACCAGCGGAAAAAAGTAATAGAAAAACAGGTTTGTTTGCATTTATTTTCCTGTCTACGAGCTCGCCTGCTTACTCATTTATTGATTGCGATTCGCCTGCTCGTTAATTAAGTCGTTCATTCATTTTGCATGTGGTTGCTTTTCACTCAGGATATTTCATGTCCCACAAATGAATTAATGCGCCGCGTGATTGACAGCAGAGACGGAAAATAGCTGCCAAATAACATCCCCTGATGGGAGCTTTGACAGGGAGTGACTTATTTTTCTTTTGTGCGTGCGTGTAAAATGCTCCACGCAACAACAGTTTCATCCTCAGTCATGACCCGAGGTGCCGGTTGCCGATGATACCCAAATATTGCCTCGGTTGCGGTTAGATAATACCGGATGCATCAGAAAACGCGTGCTGCACAATCAGCAGTCGGGCAACAAACTGGGAAAGACCTATTGGAAAAGGCGTGAAACCCAAGTGAAAAGCAGTTCTGTTGTTATGACTTCTAATCAGTACTCGAGTATACGAGGAGGAGAACGTGCAGGTATCGTAGCAACGTGAAGCTCAGACTGCCGGGTTGTTCTCATACCATGTTGGAAAACGATTGCAGATAATTTCCCAGAGTTGTAAAGCCTTCCTCGTAGGATTATAACCCACTTTGCAGGGTGTTGTTGTCAGATAAGCGATGGACCTTTACGCTGGTCTTCCAGGATCACAGTCATCCAATGCGTTCTCATTCCAGGGCGTCGATACCGTCGTTGTGAGAGATGTTGGCATCGGCAGCTATTT